ACAAATTCCTTTTGAAATATAAATTGCCAAAATCTAGACATTAACAAGTTGAAAATATGAATCAACCAATGTCTGCAAAAGAAATTTGAATTTGTCATTTAAAACGTTCCATAAGGAAAACTCCAGGCAGAGACGGTGTTATTGTTGAATTATATAAATATATGAGGAAGAAAAATAATGATCTTATATTAAAATATTCATAAAAATAAAGGAAGAAGGAATAATTCCCAAACTATTTTAAATGAGCAGTATTCTATTATTACTAAAAATCTGATACATAAAATTATTGATCAATTTTTCTCATGAACATAAAAAAAAAATCTTGAAATAATGCCATGCAAAATCTGGCAACATATAAAAAGGATAACACGTCACATCCTAGAAAAGCAAGGATGCATCATTCAACATCGAATCAGTGTAATTCCTCCACTAATAGAATAAACATAACCCATTTACAATTATCTCAGCAGATGCAGAAAGAGCTTACAAAACTCATTCGTGATCAACTCTTCACTAACTCAGCAAACTAGGAATAGAAGGGATCTTCCTCAATTTTACAGCTAGCATCATACTCCATGTGAAATACTGAATCCTTCCCCCAGAAGCAAGCAAGCAAGCAAGCTAAGGATGTCTGCTTTCTTACCACTTCTACTCAACACTGTAATTCAACACTGCACTAGAAGGTCTAGCCAGCACAGTAAGGGGGGGAAAAGAATAAAAGGCAAAAAGATTAGAAATCAAGGAAAACTGTCTCTACCCAGAAACAATATGATTGTAACTGTAGAACACCCTGAGAAACCTCAAGCTTCTAGAGCTGAGTGAACTTAACAAGCTCGTGAAGTGGCAAGGTTTAACATCAGTATTTTTTTAAAAAATCATTTTTTCTATATACTAGCAAACAATTGGAAAATAATTTTTTTGAACAAACAGTTCAAAAGAATTAGAAATATCAAATATTTAGGATCAAATTTAATAAAATAAATGTACTAACTTACTGAAAAACTATAAAACATTGCTAAAGACAAGTGGATGGGTAAGATACTTATTTTTCTCAAAATTGATCTCTAGATTCAACATACTCCTAATCTAAACCCTTTTCTTTTTCTTTTTTTTCTGCCAGGGGAGAAGGTAAAAACTGACAAGCTGATACAAAATTTTACACACAAATGCAAAGGACCCAAAATAGTTAAAACAATCTTGAAAAAAGAAGAAGAAAAAAAACCAAAGTCGGAGAATTTACACTGCCTGATTCAAGCCTTACTATAAAACTACAGTAAAGTAAGACAACATGGTAGCTTAGGGATAGACAAATAGATCAATGAAATGAAATTGGCCCACATATAAGCCGTCAATTGATTTTCAACAAAGGCTGCAAGGCAGCTCAATGAAGGCAATCTTTTCACAAATGGAGTAAGTGGACAGACATGTTGAAAACAATTCTCAATCTCTACCTCACACACACACAACAATTAACTCTAGATATTAGATCGCAGATCTAAATATAAGACTAAAATCTATAAAGCTGCTAGAAAAAGATGTAAAAATATCTGTGACCAAAGGCTAGGCAAACATTCCTTGATGTAAAAAAGTCTTAACTATAAATAAAATTAATTATATACTGGTCTTCACCAAAATAAGAACGTCTGCCCATCAAAAAACAATGTTAAGAACATGAAAAGGCAAACCACAGCCTGAGAGCAAGTATTCAAAAAACATACATACCTGAAAAAGAGTGTTATCCAGAATACATAAGTAATTTACAAATGAATAATAAAAAAGACAACCCAATTCAAAACAGACAAAAATTTGGACAATTTAAAAATGAAATATATGAATAACCAATAAGCACACAAAAATGTGGCTAATATCATTAGTCATCACAGAAACACTAATTAAAACCACAGTGGAATACTATTTCAAGACTACTAGAATAACTAAAATTAACAGGACCAACAAAACCGAATATGAGCAAGAATGGGGCAGAATGAAAACTCTCACGCATTGTCAGTCGGGTGTAAAATGATACAAGTTCTTTGGAAATCATTTTGGTAGCTCCTGATAAAATTAAACTGCAAATAGCCTCTACCCCAGAAATCCCACTCCTGGGTATTTACCCAAGACAAAGGAGAACAGATTTCCACAGATACACCTGTACAGATTGTCATTAGCGGCTTTTGACACAATGGCAAAAATTGGAAAACAATCCAAATGTCCATCAAGAGAAGAATGGATAAAGAAAGTGACACAGTGATACAAAAAATTTCCTTCACCACAGATACCATGAAGGGATCTCAAAAACATTGTTTCATGAAAGCAGCCAAATTTTAAAAGAGTATGTATGATGTTATGACATTTATGTAAAGTTTAAAAAGTTCATTGTTTCATGAAAGCAGCCAAATTTTAAAAGAGTATGTATTATGTTATGACATTTATATAAAGTTCAACGGAGACAAAAACTAATCTATGGTGACAGAAATCAGAACAGTGGCTGCCTATGGCGTGGGCACTGACTAGAAAGACCACAAGGGAACTTTCTGGATGATGAAAATACCTACATCTCCACTGGCAGGATGGGCACCTTATGTATACATCTGTCAAAATTCACTGAACTACACTTAACCATGAGAGCACTTAACTGTATGAAATTTCTCCTCAAATTACCTCAATTAAAAAATTTTATTCTTTAGGCTGTTAAATGAACCTCACTCAATTAAAAAATGATTAAGTTCCCAGGTCTATGTACATATATTTGCCCCACATATATTTGATGTGATACAGTGATAATACAACTGAATTATAGATACTTTCTTATTCTACTTGTCGACTTTTTTCTTTTTTGTCAACTTTACTTAAATGAAAGTAAATTATAAATGAATAAATCCATACTATTGCCACCAGGAATGTTTTCTGATTTCTCCAAAATTTATGCTGGGTATACACCTGTAGCCCCAGCTACTCAGAACACTGAGGTTGGAGGATTGCTTGAGCCCAGGATTCTGGGCTGTAATGTGCTATGCCAATTGGGTGTCTGCACCAAGTCTACCATTAATATGATGGCCTCCCAAGAGCAGAGGACCACCAGGTTGCCTAAGGAGGGATGAACAAGCCTAAGTTAGAAATGGAGCAGGTTAAAACTCCCAGGCTGATCAACAGTAAGATTAAGCCTATTAATAAGCATTGCACTCCAGCCTGGGCAACATAGCAAGATTCTGTCTCTTAAAAAAAATTATATATAAGATGTTTCCTAATCTTATTTTACTTTTCCCTTTTTAAATAAATGAAATGCACTGTTGGCATTTAACTGAACTTTAGAAATTATTAGAAAAGCTGAATGCTGTTTTAAGATTTTTTTTTTTTTGAGACAGAGCCTCAAGCTGTCCCCCTGGGTAGAGTGCTGTGACATCACAGCTCACAGCAACCTCCAACTCCTGGGCTCAAGCGAGTCTCCTGCCTCTGCCTCCCAAGTAGCTGGGACCACAGGCCACAGGCCACCACAACGCCTGGCTATTTTTTGGTTGTAGCCATCATTGTTGTTTGGCAGGCCCAGACTGGATTCGAACCCTCCACCTTAGGTGTATGTGGCTAGCGCCTTAGCCACTTGAGCCACAGGTGCAAAGCCCTGTTTTAAGATTTAATATCAAGTTACCAAATTTTGTGTACAACAAGTCTTTCATAGAAAAACATTCACATGAAAAGGTGGAAGGGTGGTGGCAAAAGATATACCCATGACTATGCTGGATCAGACCTTGGGTTCTGTGCCTTTTGGTTAAACTATCTTCAATGAGGTCTGATTCCTTCATATTTAAACCATCCTTTTTAAATGGGGCTGGGGGGAGTGTTATCAAGACAAAAAGAGCTTTTTATTAGCTTCTGCTTCAAATGGAACAATATATTAGAGCCCCCCCAAAAAAACATGGTGGAATAATAAATAAATTTGCTAAGGGTAAATACTACTTAATGACTACTTGCAGGCTTTCTATTACAAAAGTAGTAGTCATCAATCACTGTCATGTACTACTGATTAAAAAAAAACCACACATGCTGGGTTAACTTCTAATTAAAAGCTAAACATCTAAGACTAAATATCCCTTAATATCCACAGCACAAAGGCCCTGAGTGTACCATGCAGAGTCCTCTCCTGGCCTTGGCTAACCTGATCTGGCACTCACAGCTGTCCTCAGGCACCCTTCTGCCTGGCTCCCTCCCTCCCTACCCAGTTTGCCTCTACATCCTTCCACTGCTTTATCTTAAGACACTTGGCTTTAATCCCTCCCCCCATGAGTAATCAGCCTCAGACATCTAACCACCCACTATCACTAAACAACCTGCAGTTAGTCTTGGCTCACTTCAAAAAGGTGTGTTTGGGGAAGTGGAGAGATGGGAGGTCTAATTCTTGATGAGGCACAGATTTAAAAAATAAAAAACAACACATATAAACTTTATACGCTCAAAGGAAATTATCTGGGGGGACTGGAAATCTCACGGTGATGGGATAATTGTGCTCACACATGGCATTGCCTAGCAACAGAAGGAGCACGCACATCCCAACCTTGGGGTGTAATGAATCACTCACTCACTGCTGCTCACAAATGGTAATTGGATGAGAAGATATTCACATCTGGTTTGCTCTGTAACAAGACTTCAGAGACCTGTGGGACTCAAATTGAGAGAAGCAGCAGGTATTTCACCAACAGCCAGAGTCCCCGACAAAGGAGACCATTCCTATTTCTTTAGCTGAATGTATGCTTTTGTTTAAAAGCAATATGAAAACAAAACAAATACATGGCTTGATAGCCTCGCTTTCATAACATTTCATTTTGGCTGTGTTCTAATTTCTATGGCTTCAAATATAGTAAATGAATGTCACAAACATGAGAAAGTAAATATGATGAACAGCAGGAGAATCACAGTTGAACTAAACCACTTTGGAAGACCCAGGCGGTCACAAGCTACTTAAAGCTCAGCGTTTCTGAATCAAGGTATAAAAAGAGTCCACATACGAGCGAGATCTGTGTCTGGATCGCCTGTTGTTGGTGTCTGCTTGATTCTTTTCCTTTTGTCTCCTTAATACAGCTTCCCACTGAGGCCCCGAATCAACCATATCATTCTCCTGCCGTATTCTGAAAAGAAAAACCATCCATGTGAAGTTCACACCCCCATACATGGGGCCTTGTTTTTGGTTGATCCTAAACTTGCTTACAAAAGTTATTTAAGGAACAGAGAATACATTATAATCATTGAAAGTTAAACATGTACTGGATTAATACTATGTATATCCGTTGAGTAGTGAAGTGTGTATATAAGTACATATTATACTGTTTATATTAAATATGTACATGTAAGTTACATTTGGACTTCTGACTTAAAATTTTATAGGAAAAAGACATGTGGCAAATACAAACTCATTTCAAACATATTTAAGTTGTGGCTAAAGAAACAACAGCATCTCCTACAGTGCTGATCTTAACATATGAAACAAAATCATTTTTTTAAAATGTGCTAGTAAAAAATAGCAATAAATGAAACGCTCTTAATAATGCACACTAATTGTCAAAGTGATTATCAACAAGAGGCACCAGAAATAAATCCCATTTCTTAAGAAAGAAAACTACAAGTACAAAAAGTTAAATAAGGGAGCAAAATGCATGGATAGCAGAGTAAGCACACACTGTTCTGACTGTGGCCGCTCACGGGTTCTAAAGGGAATGATGGCTGGACACACAGTGTGGCCAGGGGCCAGGCAGGGCCCTGTGAAGCAGAGAAAGGGAACCGGGAAGGACTGGGGAGCTTAGGCATTGCCACGTGAGATCACAGGTAGTGTTACCAAATCTCATTTGAAAAAGAAAAAAAAAAAGGATAAGTCCTAAATCTACACTTTTGAAAAGAACTCTCCCAAGTTGCAAGTATTGACAACCAATTCCAAATGTTAAAGCACTGGACCTAATAAGCCCCTCGGTGGACCACACTCAGCTGGCAGATGCATCAAGTCTTTTTAATAACCAGGCGCAGTGCCGGGGGAGGAGGAGGAGGAGCAAGTACTTAGCATGTAAATACTGTCTCCAACCACCACAGTGATGCCGTGCAGCCCTGAGTGTTCATCCCCCAAATGAAACACCTGTTATTTGAATATTTAGCTTATAATTTATGAAGCTCTTCAGGAAGCTGCTCTCATGTTTGGCTCCCAGGGTGTGGAGAGTAGCAGGGAACTGCTAGAGACTCATCCTAGTCCTGACAACATCCAAGCATAACTGGGTCAGGGCACAAGTGAGCACCGCAGGCAGGCTGTGTGGAGCCATTCCTCCCCCTGAACAGACATCTTTTGGTTCCTCTGTTACAGCACTTACTACAGGCAGTGAGGTGGATGTCTGGGTTGGCTTATAAGCTCCAAACTAGCAATGAGTAACAAATACTCATTTCACATAAAACTTAGCGATAAGGTAAATTCAAGTTAGAAGAACTGCGCCTTATGAGGAAGAAACTATTGAAGTCTCTCTGGATTAAAGGGGAATTGTGTTAAGTAAAACATTATCTGTAACATCCTCCAAGCCTTTGAAGTGTGGACATTTCCTCACTAAGGTTTTCCTTTCTAACAGGCTATTATTTGAAGATTAACAGGAAGCAGTCGTGGTGTTTTTCACAGATTTTAAGAACACAGTTCCCTCTCTCATGACAGGCACAGAGTAAATTAAAATTACACATATAGTGCTACGGACCTTCATGTTGCCTAAGAAACAACAGCATTTCATGTTGGAAATATCCAAAGAGAAATATGATAAAATGTACTATCCGAGGTCACAATTATTAATCCTTCTTTGAAACAAATACTCCTATTTGAAAATCTCATGTGGATGTGTCTGCACACGCATGTGTATGTGTGGGTGCACATACACTTTTTGTGGCCAGACCTATACTTACGAGCCTTTCCATGTATCATGTGACAGTCAGAACCCCCCTTCCAGACGTCCAGAACTCCGGGGTCAGGGTTAGGAGGAGACGGCCAACGGGCAGCATCTACCCTACCGCAGGAACTCACACCTGGACTGTTGGGCCCCGGATCAGAGGCAAAACCCAGGTCTCCTAACTCCCAATCAGACTGTAGCTTCCATTCCAAACAAAATCACTACATATTGTGGACAGAACTAAATTTTACAACGTATTTTTATCAGGACATCAGCAACTCTAACTTTGAAAGTCAAACCTAAGCAAGAACAAGGTCTGACTTAAACAGAGTGGACCTTTATTTAAAAGGAAGCACCAATATTATATGTTCATTCCCATCTATTGTGGAATTCAGTTGGTTACCTTCATACTCAGACTTCGCTTTCATGATAAAACATTAAACTCCTGAGATGTAAGCACATATATTTCCTGTACCCTGATAGTGATAAGGCCTAAATGAAAAAAGATTTCAGATTGTAACATGGACCTTTAACTTTTATTTTTCTAATTGAAAAGTCTAAAGTGAGGGTACAGTGTAGACTACTCTGATGACAGGTTCTCTAAAAGCCTTGGCTTCAGCATTGTACAATTCATTCATATAACCTAACACTTGGACCCCCCCTTTAATATTTCAAATAAAAATTATTAAATTTTTGAAAAATTGAAGAAAATTAAATGAGGGCAGAGAAACTGTCAGCTAATATCCTTGTAACTTGCGACGCATGTTTGAAAGACAGATGCCCCCTACTGGTGATGCTGATTCATAAATATTCTAACAAGACTCATTAAAAATGTAAGGTGCACTGCAGAGTCACAACAGAAGCACATTTTCCTGAGGAGCAGGTAGTGTGGCTGCCTTAGTCCATAATGAAGTTTGAAATTACACCCTTACAAAAGGCTTCTGGTTAATGGACCTCATTACATGAATGAAAGTGTCATTTCTTCCATTGCTGAACTGCTCCAGAAAACACAGGTGCTACCTGGAAAGAAAAAAATCCTGGCCCTCAAAGAATATTGTAGTATTCAGTCCTTAAGAGGCAGGAGGTTATATAGGAATGAATAAAGAAATTTTTAAATAAAAAACATGTCTCTTACGATTCTGACTGTGAAGCCTGGTTTATGCTTAGGTGGAGAGTACTCAAGTGGTTTTTTGCTCCTTTCCTACTTTTTTTTTTTTTTTTTTAAAGCAGTTTTTGGCCAGGGCTGGGTTTGAACCTGCCACCTCTGGCATACTGAGCCGGCGCCCTACTCCTTTGAGCCACAGACACTGCCCCTCCTTTCCTACATTTTAATTTTGATATATAGATTTACATCATGAAGAATAAAGTACTGCAAACATTGTATTGACATAATACCTTTGAAAAAGTCAAAATGTGCTCTTACATCATAGCCACGAAAATCTCAAGGGGGGGGGAGTCTACTGTAATTTATATTGGGGAGCTATTCATTTTTAAACATTGCATTTGAAGATGAACCTCAAAAAAATGCCAAATGCTGCTTTCCTTTGATGCCGTAAGTCAACATTTATCATACTGTGCCTATTTCTTTATCTACCACCATAGTCAATAGCTATACGAACAAGTATAGCATAGTGAGGCTTTTTTAAAAATGTGTGTATAAGGAAGATGGCTGCTCTAGAACGGAACAAACTCTAGCAATGTTTCAGAAAAGAAGAATTCCAAAATATTTCCTCCTTGTCTCACCAAACTTTTCTCTCTACTTTTCAGACTATCCATGCAATTTAGATTTTAACTACATTTGACAGTTAAAGTCTGCAAGGGTTTTGAAGATGAAATGCCATATAATCGTTTGATAACAATAATGAAGATAATAACTATTCCTGGTACCTTCCTTTCTGTCTTACCTATGAAATAGTTCTGCGTCTTTTGCAAAGTTTTCCACACCACTGAGTTCTTATACAAACCCCTGAGCCTTACACTGTCCTCTCCCTGTGGCAGTTTTGTTCCTAACAGGACCTTCCTTTACACCAGTTCTTAATTGACTTCTAATGTGCTGACGTAAAGACCACGTTTGATACTGAGTCCAGGACGTTCCATGGAGCAAATGTATAATGTAGCTTCAAATGACACAAGTGATACATGGTACTCCTAAGTTCTGAAGAGGATTTGGTTGTGAGAGCGGTTAAAAAATAAATAAATTTTATTGTCCCCATTCCCTAGGGAGAAAAAGTGTTTGGAATATCAGCAAACTTAAACCAGTGGGTGTTTCTTTCATATAACCTGAAAATAGGTATCTGTTTGCCTAACAGCAGTGTCCTGCCCCTGAGATAGCAACTCTGTCACTGACTCACTCAGGGACCTTCAGCTTTGGTTATTCTCAATTTATCTAAAAAATTACTGTGAAGATCCTTCCTAGCTTTAAATCTCAATGTTTGGCCAGCTGCCTATAATTGTAACACTCTGGGAGGGTGAGGCAGGAGGATCCCTTGAGCTTAGGAGTTCAAGACCAGCCTGAGCAAGAGTGAGACCTCTCCCCACCCCCACCATTTCTACCAAAAAAAAAAAAAAAAAAAAAAGCAACAACAGCCAGGTAGCTGGCTGTAGTCCCAGGTACTTGGGAGGCTAAGGCAGGAGGATTACTTGAGCCCAGGAGTTTGAGATTGCTGGAGCCACGGCACTCTAGCCTAGGCAACAAAGCAAGACTCAGTCTCCAGATAAAATAACCCAATTTTATTTCCAGGCCAGTCAGACACACTGAAAGAATTCTTTCTTCTTCCACTACAGCACGACATTCTAGACAATTGCTTCACACGTATGGCCACTTTATTGCTAAAATTAAATCTGCAGGTCCCAACTGACCGTGAACTTGTGTATCTCATCAACTGCACTCATTTTTGGATCCCCTGCTATAAACCAATCTTCATTTTGTTTCGGTTTTTCTTCCCTAGGGAAATTTATGTTGGTTCCAGGCATCTACCGGCATGCTCCCTTAAGACCAGAAAGCATAAACTCCATTTGCTGTGCTCACCTTCCCCACCTCAATAAATTATTCTTATTTGTCTCAAAGATACTTGTGTCTCTTCCACTTATTCCTTACGCTCCCTCTACTAAAGGGGCTGCATTCGGTGCAATTCCCCTTTCAAACTCTCCTATTTTCATAATTTTTTAATCTGTTTTGCCCTCAGTAATGTAACAGCATTCCGTCCATGTAGCTTTGTACT